GTCTGCTTTTGAGTCAACTCAAAAGCTAACTCATTACACGCGGTTCTTATATTGAAAAGTTAGCGGAGGGCATGGTGTCGACAAGAAAGTACCGGCAGGCATGACGGCATGCAGAAATAAACATGTGCCGACATTTGCACAAGTCCAAAACTAGTGTGCGGGTGTGCACCTAATGTGTTCGCAATGATATTCAGCCAAAGTAACATGTTTCAAGAGACACTTGCCTCGTACTCGTATTTCTGCCCATCAAGAGGCAGCAGGTCGAAGCACATGCCACCATAGCTCCAGTCATGGATGATGGGCGCCACCTGTGAGAATATAACATGGGGCAAGGAAGGGCCAGGCAGGGCAGAGCATGGGGCATGTGATGGTTTCTTAGTCGACTAAGTAAACAACTATGGATGATGTGTGCCATCTTTGACGTGAAATGGCCCCGTCCTCGCTTGGGCAGAGCCGACCTCACAGTTGGGTGCGCGAGAGGTGCAGCCGACTGCTGTCAGAAGTCAACGGCGTCCAACTCCGAGGAGAAAGTCGACGGACTTGGTCGACTTCCGCGACCACTGCGAAGAGCCGACGAAGTCACTTTTGAGTCGACTCAAAACGAGGTGACTTTTGAGTCGACTCAAAACGAGGTGACTTTTGAGTCGACTCAAAAGTCACGACGGACTTGGTTGACTTCCGCGGCCACTGCGAAGAGCCGACGAAGTCGGTGGCCGACTTCAACTTGGGCGGCTGACGAAAGAGCTTGTCGACCCACGGGCGCTGAGTTTAGGGAACCGGAGACATTACCAGGTCGATCAAGTAACCAGGTCGATCAAGTAACCAGGTCGATCAAGTAACCAGGTCGATCAAGTAACCAGGTCGATCAAGTAACCAGGTCGATCAAGTAACCAGGTCGATCAAGTAACCGGTCGATCAAGTAACAAGGTCGATCAAGTAACCAGGTCGATCAAGTAACCAGGTCGATCAAGTAACCAGGGCGGCAAACTTCTACGGGGGTGCGGTGACGTCGCCCAGAAGACTTTGGCGAAGTCAACCTGCGAACTGGTATCCCGTGGTCGACGTGGCGCATCGGGCGCAACTGATGGCACGTGGCCGAATTGGCATCCCGTGTGGTGTGCAGGACGAGGCACGACGTGCTCGACCATCAACCCGCGCATATGCACACATACGCATATAGTCATCTGTGGTTGCAGTGCTGACAGACCGCCCCTGTGCTACGTATGAGGTCGACCTGCCAGTGTGCTAGGTTGCTAGGCCTCTGATGTAGTTATTGTTGCCATTACTTCTTGCATCATCATGTACCCAAGTTTTGTTAGCGAAACTTTAGTAAATTTGCCATGTGAATGGGCAAGTAGAACACGAGTACAGCTACGATCACTCATACCACCCATGATTTCTTCACGTAGTCCAGCTCTTGGTGTAGAGTGACTCTCCATAGCTATGTTGCACTATACGCTTAGGAAATTTTACGTTTCACGTATATGCGTTCACGTATAAACGTGAAAACGTGAAACGGGGACAAATACGCGATACGTAAATCCGGGCAGGCGAAAAAAAAAAGAAGAGAAAAAAATCTGTTGCCGCTGATTCCGCGATCTGCAATTCTGTGAAACCTAATTTTGAGATTCGAAACTCGAATGCCCCCCTCCCCTCCCCTTCACCGCACATCACCTCACACCACCTCCCAAACCCAACCTTCCCTTACAAGCTGCTCGCCAGTCGGCATGAGTACAACAGCGAAGCTCACGCCAAGTTTACTGCTATTGCTAGCAGCGGCGTCGCGTCACTTGCAGATCTTAGCAACCGCAATATTAGGACGATTCTAGCCAACAATTTCGTACTGGCGAAAACCCCACGGGAGTTATCCGCATCAAGTATTGCTGAAGTTCTTTCCCTATAAGCATTCTACCTCAACTGAAATGTTTTTTCCCTGCCCTAGAAAATTTCAACCTGCCCGACGCACCGTATTTCGAGGTTTTTTGTACGCTGGAAATTTGCGTATCGCGTATGTACGATACCGTATAGTTCGTACGCGTTCCGTACGCCATACGCGTATTTTGCAACATAGCTCCATAGATACAACATGGGGCATGGTAGGGGGCATGACATGGGGCATGGTAGGGCGCATGACATGGGGCATGGTATGGCATGTCATGGGGCATGGTAAGTGGCACAATATGGGGAGGGCTTGGTTTGGACCAACGCACAACAATCACCCCATTCTTGAACCTCCACTCACGTCGTTCTCCACCACTCACCCCGCACCTCCCCTTCCCAGCCAAGACTCACTCACCGCATTTACAAACCAAACGAGGATGAGCAGGTCGCATCGCAGGCGTCGCTGGTGGGGAAGCCCTGGATGGACGACTTGTACTTGCTCAGCCGCTCCCACAACTTCCCACACAGCCTCACCACACTCCTCTCCACCCACACTCACCGGATCGACAGAGCGGTCGAGGATGAGGAGGTCGCAGGTATCAGAGGAGGGGAAGTCCGGGAGGGATGCCTTGTACTTGCTCAATCGATCCCACACAGCTTTTGCCAGCTCGGTGGAAACAAGCTCACGCATGCCCGCATTGCTCACCGCCGCTGCTCCCGTCGCCTCGGCCGCTCTGTACCGCACTGTTGGGAGCTCCTGGGGATGGGAGCATGTGGGAGTGCGCGCACGTGTGTGTGTGTGAGTGGGCGCACGTGTGTGCGCGTGTGTGTGCACGCGTGTGTGACTGCATGCACGAAAAACGGAGGGTAAATGGGCCAGGAAGGGGCAGAGAGACAGGGAGGGAGGGGGGGGGAAAGGGGAGGGGAGGGGAGGTTGGGTAGAGGAGTGGGGAGGGGGTCAGTTGGACGTTCAGCCTGTCCCACACGGCAGAAGCCAGCTTGGTAGACACAACACAACACAACACAACACAACACAACACAACACAACACAACACAACACAACACAGCCTACAAGCCAGCCAGCAAATACCAGCAGCCCGTCAACTGACCTTGAGGGATGCAAAGACGGTGGAGAGGCGGGTGGCGATGTCATCGATAAGAAGCTCGTACTCGCGAGTGCTGATGTCCTCCTTGAACAGCCCTACCAGCGCGCTGTCATGCTCCGTCAACCCTGGATGTCCACTGTGAGGACCTCCAGGTTCATCTGTGGGTGGGTGGGTGGGTGCGTTGGTGCAGGTTAATACATCAGCGCCATGCTCCCCGTCACGTAGCCCTGGATGTCCACCGTTAGCACCTCCAGGTTCATCTGGGGTGGGTGAGCAGGTGGGTGGTTGGGTGAGTGGTTGGGTTGGGTGAGTGGGTGGTTGGGTGGGTGGGTGGTTGCATTGGTGCAGCTAGGTAGATATATTAGCAGAAAGAATGCTTTCCAATGCCCATCGTAAGCACCTCCAGGCTCATCTGGGTGGTTCGGTGAGCACACACGCACACAGGCAGGCACGCACACAGGCAGGCACGCAGGCCCAACAGCGGAGACAGGCAGGCAGGCGGGTAGGCAGAGTTGTTAGCACCGCTGGAGCTCCGTAAAGTGGCCTGGATGCCCCGAAATGAGGATTTATTTGACTTTTGAGTCGACTCAAAAGTCGCCTCGTTACAATGGCACTCACCACTGCAGCTCCGTCACATAGCCTGGATGCCCCAAACCCAGAACAGATCGAAGAAGGGACGCATGGGATGGGAAGATCGACAAATTGGAAGGGAGGAGGGGACGGGTGGGAGGAGGGATGGATGGGAGGAGGGACAGATGGGATGGGACGAAGGAAGGATGAAGGAAGAACAGTTAAGCGTTCTAACTCATTGCCTCCTCCAACCCACACCGACAGTAATCATCACCTTTAACAATCACCTTTCTCTCTAAGAGTCGCAATGCCAATCACCCACCTCTATTAGGGCCGCAATGCGGGAGCGAAGCAGGCGGTCTGCCTTGATAAGCTGCTTATTGTCTTCAGAGACGGGCCGGCTGAAATACACATGCGCCCTGCTCGTGGGGGCGTCAAAAGCAAAGCAGAATGGGGTTCAGCATGAAAGTGAGTGAGCTATGAGTCGACAAACAAGGTCTGCCTTAATAGGCTGCAAATTGTCTTTTGACGGGCGGGCTGAAATATACATGCATCCTGCTCGTGGGGTGGGAGCGTCCGGTGCTGCAAGGCAGAACGACAGCATCACGTGCAACGGAGATTGAGGTTTCGGCGTGAGAGTGAGTGAGCTATGAAGAGAAGCAGAGGATCCGTCTTGGAGAGAGAGAGAGGCCTGCCTGTTGCAGACTGTCCTTTGGGGAGCGGCAGAAGAAGTACACATGTGCCATGCTCGTGGGGGCAACAAGGACATGTGCCATGCTCGTGGGGGCAACAAGGACATGTGCCATGCTCGTGGGGGCAACAAGGTGCAAGTACACATATGCCGCACATAGCGCTGAAATTATGGGTTGGCATGCCACACATGGCGCTACGTACTTTCCGTAGAGGGGCGACTTTCCCTGCATGTCCTTCATGAACTGTCCAATGCTGCACATATGGCAACACAATATGTAAGTCGAGGGGGGGGTTAGGGTTTAATGACAGGTGCATTTTGATTCAAGTTGTGATAGGCTTCAGCTTTCCCTGCTTGTCCTTCATGAACTGTCCAATGCTGCACAGATGGCAACACAATGCGGTTGCACTCAAAATGAGTCCGCACCTGGTGGGCTAGAGTTATCAGTCAACTCAAAATGAGTCCGCGCCTGTGAGCGGTGGGCTAGAGTTATCAGTCAACTGAAAATGAGTCCGCACCTGTGAGCGGTGGGCTAGAGTTTCCAGTCAACTGAAAATGAGTCCGCACCTGTGAGCGGTGGGCTAGAGTTATCAGTCAACTGAAAATGAGTCCGCACCTGTGAGCGGTGGGCTAGAGTTATCAGTCAACTGAAAATGAGTCCGCACCTGTGAGCGGTGGGCTAGAGTTATCAGTCAACTGAAAATGAGTCCGCACCTGTGAGCGGTGGGCTGGATGAAGTAAAGCGCCTCCATGGCCAGCGGCTGGCGCCTCTGGTTGATATCCTCCACCACTGGCGGAGGGAGGCAGGGAGGGGGAGAGGAAGTCGAGGGAGACAGAGGGAGATGGCAAGATTGCTGGCAGCGGAGTTTGATGCCTCCATGGCTGGCAGCGGCTGGCGCCTCTTGTTGATATCCTCCACCACTGGCGGGGTGAGAGAGTGGGAGGAATGGTGGAGAAAGGCAAAGCAGGGGAGAAATTCGGGGAGAAGGAGGGAGACGGGGAGAGAGAGAGTGGGTTGGATGCCTCCATGGCTGGCAGTGGCTGGCTGGCACCTCTGGCGGAGGGAGGCAGGCAGGGGTGGAAGAGGGGGAGGGAGGCAAGGGGAGCAGAGAGTTGGAGAAAAGGAGGGAGACGGGGAGAGAGGGCGTGGGTTGGATACCTCTATGGCCGGCAGCGGCTGGCGCCTGTCCTGGATGCCTTCCGCCACCACTGGCGGAGTGAGGCAGGGAGGGGAAGAGGGAGAGAGGCAGGAAGGGGAGGGAAGAGGGAGAGAGGCAGGGAGGGGAGGGAAGAGGGAGAGAGGCAGGGAGGGAAGAAGGAGAGAGGCAGGGAGCGGAGAGGAAGTTGCGGAGGAGGAAGACAACGAGACAGAGAGAGGAGCGCCAAAAGAGGTAGAGAGGGAGTGCGTCCATCCGTAAGTGGACGTAACTCTCTCAGCATGGAATGGAAAGAGCAGCGAATAACAGGTTCAGACAGGCTCTTTAATTTTTCCAACTAGGCCGACAGACTCTGATTTTTCCTCTCTATTCACTTACGAGAAATGCCTTCCTCGGTGAGATCAGCCATCTTGCAGGAAGCGGACAAGACGCGGCTAGTGAAGGCGTCCGTGATGAGCACCTGGAGACGCACAGAGGGAAGGAGAAACAGAGCGACAGAGACGAGCAGAGGGGCAGAGGGGCAGGGAGAGAGATGGCGTTTGAATCAACTCTGACAGGACGCGCAGAGTAAAGGCGTCCGTTGATGAGCACCTGAACAAGGGAACCAGGGGACAGAGGGGAGGAGAAACCGAGGAACAGAGGCCAGAGCGACAGAGCGGCAGAGAGGCAGTGCAACAGTAACAAACGGACAGAAAAAAGACTGGAGTTGAAGCCTCCGAAGCAGGCAACTAGCACGAAATCGGGTAACCAAAAGCACGGGAAAAGATATGCACATTGCATGGATCGCTCCGCAGTGAGAAAAAAGGTATGAGAGAACACAAGTACAAAACAAATTACCTGACATAGGATGCCAGTGGTGGTGGTGGCTCACACTCACTGGACAACAGGTGCGAACGAGCTTCAGAAAAAGCGAGCGATTTAAAGAGTAAACGGAAACCCTTGACTAAAGTACAAGATCACCTTCCATTCACCATCATCGCCTGCTTGTTTGGCGCCGCGAAGCATCTCAACCAAAATTCCTGAACGGCGTGAGAAGGAGATAGGAACGCGCGATTGCGAGAAAATTTGTGAATGGGATAATCAATCGCACCTGAGGAAACAGAATCGCGCGATCGCGCGTCTCTTTGGGACTATTAATCTCAGGCGGCGCTGAGTCGGAACTTACTATCCCGAATAATGTGCCGAAACGGCCGCTGTTCTTGATTCGACGGCATCTTGACAGTTCAGGCGCGATGAGTAAAGCTTAAACTGCCAGCTCGATGGACTAGACTCGGCCCTAAATTTTGGATAGAGTGTGTCGCGGAAGCACAAGGTAACGCGAATGCCAACAGCCTGGGCTTTCGAACGACTACGCGTTAGCAGGCCAACTCATTGTCACGTGAAAGGTCGCGCGGGAACAAGCCGCTGTGTAGAATAATACGCTGCTCGACGCAAGCGCCTGACACCACGCTGAATGCGTAGTTTTTTGTGTTAGGAAGGGGTGCTTGAGTGTCGTGTTGACCCGACTTTCCGTGCACCCCGCCATCGACAACATCGAGGTTTGTACGACCTCATTCGCCCCTAGAAGACTACATCCTTGCCAATGGCGACCGTAGCCGGAACATGACTTTCAGGATCACACAATCGAACGGCTGTGATAACGACTGGAGCTTCATATTGAAGCCTCTTCCCGGCACGTTGAGCTGTATTATGTCAGGAATGCCTGTAGGAGCATCCTCTGCATTGTGAAAGCCGCATTGTGTAAGGCGCATTCTGTTATAAGAGCTAAGCACAAGCACTCGGAAGCAACATTCATTCTCGTACATCAGTAGAAACAATTGACAAGGTTCCCTAAAAATGTGTACTGTGTACTTTGCCTCTGATTAAGGCCTGCCTAGCAACCACGAATTCCCTCACAGAGCGCATCTTATGTAAATAAGGTAGTGCAGATTCAAACACTATTTCAAGCTGCCAGCAGCTCGAGCAGCCTCCTAGTAAAGGCATCCTGTGCGTAATGTCACTAAAGCGTTGGGTTATTTGATACCGGTATAATGACTTGACCTGAGGTAGAGGTTTTACCAGCCGACACACCGTTACCCTTCCATTGACCCTCCGCACGATCGGTTTACCCCTTAACAGTGCGCATGGTGTATTAACTCTTGAGGAGTTTCATTTTCTACAAGGGATAGGGAAAAGGGAAAGTGGGGAATGGGTGTGTGAGAATGTATGGTACAGTAGCAGTACACAGCAACACGGAGAGAAGAGGGACAATGAAAAGGAATAAGCAGGGAAGAAGATAAGCAACAGCGATTGGGCCGAAACAAGCAACCTCTGGCACATGCTCTCCATCTCACTTCGCTGTTTTTTTCCAGAACCTGCAGAGACTATATGAACTTGCCGGGCGTGCCAAGCGACGTTTGTGTCACTTTAGAGGATTCTCAAAAGCGAATTCGCACAGATTCTACGAGCAGCAGCAGGGGGTCTCAGTCTCACTTGGATGAACTTGTTGGGTGTGTCGAGCGACGTTGACCCGATGATGACCTCCCGGTTGAGCTGCTGTGAGAGTATGTGCGCCACTCGGATCTGGAAGAGCGGAGAAGGCATAGGGGTGAGAAGGGAGGAAATTCAAGAAGCGTACGCAACACTGACCCGATAATGACCTCCCGGTTGAGCATTTGCGAGAGTATGTGAGCCAGTCGGATCTGAAAGAAGGAGGACAGGGCATTTGGGCAAGGAGGGAGGAAATGTAGAAATTGTGAGCGACGTTGATCCAATGAACGACTCCCTGTTGAGCTTTTGCAAGAGTATGTGAGCCACTTGGATCTAACGGCATGGGTGTGGGGCACAGGGAATGGGCGTGGGCTATGGGGCATAGGGTATGGGGCATAGAGCGTGGGAGATGGGGTTTACAGGGAAGGTTGGGGGAGGATTGGCAAGTGCAGTAAATTACTTTCGCATCACACCCTGGCCCATCGCATACCATCACACATCACATCCCATACCATCTCATGACATCCCACATCAACACATCACATCCCACCACACTTCATCACACCCTGCCCCATCGTATTACCCCGCCCCGCCGCATCACCCCACCCCACTGCACCACACCCTGCCCCACAACATCACACCCCGTCCCACCGCATCACACCGCACCCCACTCCCCCTCACCTCGGATCGACTCATGCCCCCCACGATGAACACAAAGAGCCGCCGGCCCTTCTGGCCTGAGCTGGCAGCCGAGACTGAAGGACGCTCAGAACTGAGAGGGGAAGGGGGGAAAGAGAAAATCAATTGGAGAGGAGAGAGTCGGGTCAACAGAGGAGAAGGAAAACTGGCCTTCTGGCCTGAACTGGCTGCCGAAACTAACGGATGCTCAGAACTGAGAGGGAGTGGGAGGGAGAGGAAAACAAGGGAAGAGCAGAGAGTGGGATTGAGAGTGGGGAAAGAAAGAGGAGGGAGAAGAGCTGCCGGCCCTTCTGGCCTGAACTGGCAGCCGAGACTGAAGGACGCTCAGAACTGAGAGGGAAACAAGAGAGGGCGAGGGGAAAGAGTGGGTAATGAATGGATAGAGGGGGGTGCGAAAGTGAGGAGCAGGAGCAGGAACAGTCCCCTCCACCACGCCCCACCCCTTTCCACTCCCCCATCACCCCCCAACAACCTCCGTAATCTCATCTGGAGCTCCTCTCCTCAATCCCCACGCCCTTTAGCGCCCACTCGTCGCCGCCGGTGCAGCAGCAGCCGCCCGGGCCGGCCCAGCAGGTTTCTCAGGCCGCGCCGACCCTGCCGCCTATTTCCCTCGCACTCACCTTGTTCCCTCCACCTCACCTGCACCACTCCAGCTCACCTGGAAGTCTTCTCCTCCATCCCCACGCCCTTCAACGCCCAGCTTGCCAGACTACTCCCACTCGTCGCAGCAGGAGCAGCAGCAGCAGCCCCCGGGGTTGTCTTCTTCCTCGCACTCATGGCCGCCCGGGCCGACCCAGCAGGCTTCTCAGGCCGTGCCGACCCTGCTGTCTTCCCTGGTGCACCGGAATCCGCGGAGGGTTTAAGTGCGGAGAAGGCGGAGCCGAGGGAGGAGACGGGGTCGGAGCGAGGGCGAGCAGAGCCGGAGGGGGCGGAGTCGGGCTCTTGCACGTAGGGGTAGTCCTGGAGGGATAGCTTTCCCTCGTCCAGGTCTTCCAGAATATCCTGATGGTGAAAAACGCAGAGGTGGAAACGGGGAGATACGAAAGAGGAGACATGGAAGGGGACCTATTGAAGAGGAGGAGTCGGAGGAGGGTTTGAGGGCGCAGAAGGCGGAGCCGAGGGAGGAGACGGGGTCGGAGGCTCCCCCGCGGGGGCGAGCAGAGCCGGAAGGGGCGGAGTCGGGCTCTTGCACGTAGGGGTAGTCCTGCAGGGACAGCTTTCCCTCGTCCAAGTCCTCTAGGATGTCCTGGTGGATCGGAGTAAGTGGGATCGGGAGTCAGGGAAGGGACATCAGGAAGAGGGAGAGTTGGGCTCTTGCACGTAGGGGTAGTCCTGCAGGGACAGCTTTCCCTCGTCCAAGTCCTCTAGGATGTCCTGGTGGATCGGAGTAAGTGGGATCGGGAGTCAGGGAAGGGACATCAGGAAGA